AAAAATTTAATGGTATCAGAGCCATGAATCTAGATAAAAATCTAGTGAAACCTTTCTGGTATATAGATATAAAAACTTTAGTAACTATACTAAAGGTAATAAAAGATTTAGATGAAGATCTAAAACGAAAAATAGTTTCTATAATAGCTCTTAGAAACAAAAAACAAGAGGAAATAAGAGAATTATATTATAATTCTTATAGTTTCCACGAAGATAGAAATATGATGGATACATCTGATTATTACTATTCAGAATAAAAACATGAGTCTAAAAGAAATCTTAGAATCTCTAAAAGATCTCATAGAAAGTAATAAACAATTAACCTTACGGTTAAAAATGATAGAAATTGAAATCAATTATATCAAAGAAAATCTTCCAGGAAAGATAACTAATATGATAGAAAAAAGCAGAAACATAAAAACGCTGATCTGGCGCATTCTAAGGCCTGAAATTTTATTTATCTTTTTTAAGGCTTTTTTTTAAAAAAATCTTCACTTTAAAAAGACATAAAATATTTCTTTATCTTTTTACAAAATATTAAATTATGATATTTAATTCTCTCCTCATTAATGCATAATCATAAAAGCTTCAGTTACAAATTCCTTACAATAAAATATTTTTTTACTGTAAATAAATTCGTTCAGTTATATTTTTCTATATGCATCATTTAATTACAAAATTTAAGAGATTTTATTCGTTTATCCTTTAATTACAGAATTTGAAAAGTTTTTTTACCATTAACTTTTGAATACTATATAAACAGACATACAACATAACATGCATTGATCTACATCTATCTTTTTGCATAAATGTTACACCTACCCGATATAGCTGATGTTTTGTGTCTTGAATGGTAAATGAGTGTTGTGAGAAGGTTGATCAAGGAGTTTTTTTTTTTAATTGTGATGACAGTGGAAGTAGTGGATTGCGGCGAGAATGACTAAGTGATAATTGGGGTCTAACGAGAATTAAAACACTTGTAAAAGTTATATTCAGAAATCACAAGTAATATGATATATTTTGTAAGCATTGACTCTTATATGAATGTATTTTCTTTCCTCTCAAGTAATATGATATATTTTGTAAGCATTAACTCTTATATGAATGTATTTTTTTTCCTCTCAAGTAATATGATATATTTTGTAAGCATTGACTCTTATATGAATGTATTTTTTTTCCCTCTATCTTTTTTATCTTTTTTTTATTGTAGAAGAAAATGATGAAGTATTTTAAAGAAAAAATTGAGTATGGGAGAAATTTCATAAAATTGGAAGGAGATAAAATAAAATCAATATTCATGAATTGTTGAGAGTAAACGATATATAGAGACTAAAGTGACAGAAGAAAACGGAATATATTTTGTAAACATAGACTCTTATATGAATGTTTTTTTTTCCTCTATCTTCTTTATCGTTTTTCATTGTTGAAGAAAATGATAAAGTATTTTAGAGAGAAAATTAAGTATGTGATATATTTCATAAAACTGGAAGGAGGTAAAATAAAATTAATATAAACATTAGATGGGAGTAAATAATATATAATAACTAAAGTAACAAAAGAAAATGGAAAATTAAAAAAAATGTAGAGAGGAATAAGTAAAAGGAAAGAGAAAATGCCATATAATATGCTTGAAATTTAACTTCAATTCTCTATTAATGATGATTCATTTAGTTTGTTCCATATATAGTCTTAATTAGTTTCAAACTGAATTTCTTAAAATTGATATAGAAAAAGGACAAATTGATCAAATGGAAAGAAATGTTACGAGGAGAAAAAAGAAAGGAATTATTTTCTATTGACATGGAAGATATTAAGGAAAATGGAATGAAAAATTTTAAAAATATATATATGAAGAAACTTGTAACGCCCAAACTTTGGATTTTTTCAATTTGGTTTTATTTTTTATTTTTAAATTTTCTATTTTTAGTTCATTTTAATTGTTCCATAAATATTTTTAATTTGTTTCATAATTTTTCGAAATTGATATAGAGTAACGAAAAATTATAAGAAATATTGCTTAAAAAAATCTTTAAATGAGGAGAAAAAGAAAAGGATGATCTTCTTATTAAGAGGAAATTTGGGTCAAGAAAGTTGTCATTTGCCAATTATATTATTTGTAGTGTAATTACAGATTGTTTATGGGAAAAATAAATATTACACTAATATATATAAGGAAAATGGAACGAAAATATAAAAAGAATTAGTAAAGGAAAATAATATAATGCCCAAACTTTGAATTTTATAATTAGTTTATATTGTTATTCTTTAATTATTTTTGATTTTTTTTAATTTTCAATTCATTTTAATTGTTTCATATATAGTCTTAATTTGTTTCATATTTACTTTCAAGGAATTGATATACAAAAATGATAAATTAATTAAATAGTAAAAAATATCATTCAACTTTTTTTTAAAAAAATGTTGTGAGGAGAAAAAGGAAAGAATCTTCTTCTAATTAAGAGAAAATTTGAATCAAAAAAATTGTCAATTGCCAATTATATGTATTATTTTCCTTTTTAATTATTGTTTTATTTTTATTTCAATTGTTCCATATAATCTTAATTTGTTTCATAATTTTTGAAATTGATATAAAAAAAAAAAAAAAATTAACCAAATGGTAAGAAATAGTACTCTAATTAAAGAGGACATTTAATTTCTTTAATCAATGCTATTAATTTTCTTTCATTAATCTTCTTTTAAGAGTTTTTAAATTTCTTATATCCTTAATATAATCTTCTTACTTTTTTTTCAGATTTTTGAAATTTTTCCTTATATTAGAATTAAAATATAAATATTGCATAAAAATGTCATCTCATTTTTTTTTTACTTTCTCATATCATATTTTTATTAGAAAAATATAGAAATCAATGCAATATTTATTGGTATT